TTACAAAGATCAAAATATGGATTACTCTCTTCAGTACTTTTTTGTGGGGCGGTGGCATACTGTCATCACACTCATCCCTATCATTCAGCGAGACACAAGAACGGAGGTGTAAAAGGAAAGATAATATAATTTAATGAATAGAGACGAGAAAATTTTATTAGGTTGTTACAGATTTTGAGCAGACTGAGTTTGGGGGTCAATAATTAATACTACAGTTTTTCTTAGCCTACGGTATGAGTCTGCATGCTCGTTAATTTCAGGTGCTAACTTCAGATAAAGCAGATATCTACAAAATCTGCTCTGAGCTAAAATTGAACATTCACACAAACAAGTGCAGATGGAACATCATATGCTGAAATTATACGAAATCACCTATGAGTAAAAACAGCTACCTGAAAAGAAAAAGGAACAAAAAAAGAACCTGAGATAACCACAATGAAACAGTATGGTTCACCACTGAGGACACAGAGCTAATGAAGTTGGTAAAAGTCATTATCGCTAAATAATAATAGAACAGTAGTTATCATATAAAGGAATCTCGCAATCCACCTATCAGTTGATGTACTTTCATCATAGGCTATCTCAAAAGAGATGAACTATTTCTACATACCGTAGAATGTAACTGTTTCATAAGAATGGTAATGCATAAAACCATACTAGCACCAATTATCTCGAATATGATGTGACATCTTTCTCATAGACTACAAACATCTCCATATGTTTAAGTTATCAAGTTTTGCTTTAGACATATTCCCCAAGCAATATGACCGTCATGCGAACTTAATTATCAGGTCCTAAGCTTTAAAGGGATATAGAAGACAAAACTATTATTAGTTTGTTTTTAGCCCGTCGGAATTTCTTTTTGATCAGGAAAAGGTAATTCCGTTGATATCCAGCAACAATAGTGTGTGGAGAACATATATAGAATAGCACTTTTACAGGTTGTGTAAAGGCTCAAAAAGTTGAGCATGGCTCCTACTAGCCAGTCAGAATTTCTAATATCCAATATATAAAAGGACGAAAGATGTCTTTTGAATGTTCAAATGATCAGCAAAAGCTGCAAACTTGATTTCAGTATTTATTTGGCGACCTAACTAAATTGATAAACTAAAAAACAGTAAGAATCTGAGCAGAACAATGCAAATCAATAAATAGCTATACAGTCATGAACAAAACAGATGCTAAATGTAAAAGCTTCTGACAATTTCGGCGAGAACTATTCTTTAAAAAGTCTAACCTATCTGCACTTGGAACCCATGGCAGAATTTTGACATTATGAATCTGATGCAGAGTGTACAAAATGCATACACTGAGCTTACCAGTTTGGTGAAACAAGCTGCACGATTAGCATGGCATATTGAACGAATTTCAGTACTTGAAGGAATATCTGCTGCAACTTGCAAAGCTAGCTCATATTTTGACAATGCCTCTTCATAAAGCCCGTCCTTAAACAATGCATTGCCTTCAACTTTCGCATCATTTGCTTGAGCCAAGGCTTTCTGCTCCTCAAAATGAAGGGATTATATCAATAATTGTTGAGAGCAATTATCTTAGTACAGTTTCACCAAAAGAACAACGACATACCTAGTGTAATCCCAGAATAGGCAGTAGTGCTAGTTAAAATGGCAATGGACAAAACCTTAAAACATATTAACAAGAGAAAGAAGGCCAGGCAGATGGGATTCACACAAATACATTTATGATGAAATCCCTCAATGTTGAAAGGGAAAAATCAAACGGAGAAAGAGAAATAGTAGTTGAATTTGCATGTAGATAACTTCCCCATAGCTGTGAGGAGGACATTTTTTCTCATTAATAATACACCAAGAAGGTGTCAAGAACATACTAGTAACATGTTACAGAACCACAAGACATTCCTAGCTGCAAAAAGGATATTAGTTATATCAAAAGACTCTTGGCGTTTCAAATAACTTTCTGGTGCAAGGAGAAAATACTATTATGCAGAGATGATTCTGCTACTTGATTGTTTTCAGTTATGGTCGAGCCACTCAGTAATCATGTAAACATCTGTTAACACCACCTTTTGTAATATCAATGAAATGAAATTTGTCTCGTCAAAAGAACAGAATCACTAGCGAGCATCTAACAAACTGAGAACAAATTCACTAATTCTACCTAGTTCCTCTGAGACACTATCTCAAGAAACTAAAATAGGAATCTCGAATTTGCAGGCTTTAAATTCTGACCACCGCATTTTAAATCCCGATGCACCATTTCAAGGAACCACGATCAGAACCTCAAACTATAACCTTTAATCAAAAAACAATAAAAAGGAACTACAGAACTCAAACATTAATTTTTTTATAACCATGATGTCCGGGCCAACTTGAACACACCTCAACTAATTCCACGAGATACTTGCCACCTCCCACCGATAACATGTACTAGACAACTCTGCCCACAAACAAATGGGGAGAAATCACCTATGTCTTTATTTGCGTTGAGATTTGAATCTGAGACCTAATGATTCTCAACCTACTTCATCAACCACTAAGCCACACCCTTGGGTGCAAACTCGAAAACATTATTTTTTGATAAACAATATCCGGACCAACTTGGTTGTCACCTCCAACCAACAACAGGTATTAGGTAAATCTGTCCTGCCCATCAAGGCTAAGACAAATGAGAAATCACCTAATGTTTTTATATCTATTAAGATTTGAATGAGACCTTATGATTCTCAACCCCATCAGCCACTAGGCCACACCCTTGGTGCAAACGCAAAAACATTCTATTTTCATAAACATGGTATCCGGTCCAACTTTGGTTTTCACCTAACATTTTTATCTCGATTGAGATTTGAGCCTGAGACCTCAGGATTCTCAACCTCTTCATCAACCTCTTCATCAACCACTAGCCACTAGGCAAACTAAAAAACATTATACGCAATGTACAACTGATTAAACCAAGCTAAACTTACCTAAGCTCATCAAAATCACTCTCCAATGCCTAACAGCAGCGGAAAATAACAACATCAATTAATCAATTAAAAAACAGTGAAAAAATAAAACTTTACCTCATTCAATTGTTCCTGATTTACTTCAGGCTGCTGCTCCTGCGTCTTCTCCTTCAACAAATCTCCATCAGATGAAGACGACGCCGTATTGATCGTGTTTTCAGATTCCCTATTACTTCCATTCTCGGTTCCGTTCAGTTCCGTATCGCTCGCAGTCTCGTAACCATCCGACACGTAACCAGAGGGCGCCGCCTCCGCTGCTGCCGCCGCCGTCGAAGTTTTACCGGTGGCCGGTGAATCTACTTGTTCAATCGACACCATTTCTATGAGCTTCTGGAAGTTTCTTCTTCGTCTTTCAGTCTTCTCTGTGAAAAAATAATTTGCTTGTGAATCCAGAAAGCTCTGATTTATATATGGATGTAAGCAGTGAATCTAACGACGCCGTTTTTAGTATCTCGTGGAATTCGGGTCGGATTGGGTCGGGTCGGGTCAAATTTATATAAAAAAATGTACCTCTTACGAGAAATGTAAATTTATGTAGGAAAAGATACCAAACAGATCTTAGGAGAAAAACAAATTTATATAGGAAAAAGTATGAATTTTAGAAATAAATCAAATTTATGTAGGAAAAAATATCAATGGATTTGAAGAGAAATGCAAATTTACGTAGGAAATAGTACCAAGTGAATTTTATGAGAAATCCAAATTTATGTAGGAAAAAGTACGGATTTTAGAAAATATTCAAATTGAAAAAAATATCAAACCGATCTGAGGAGACAAATTTACATAGGAAAAAGCACCAAGTGAATTTTAGGAGAAATCCAAATTTACGTTAAGAAAGATACCAAATTAAAATTGAGAAGAAATCCGAATTTATATAGGAAAAGGACAATAAACGAATCATAATTCTCAAAGGTTTAGGTTAAATAAATTATCTATAAATACACTAAAACTTCATTAATTCAATCAATTGAAAGTTTATAATTCACAAAGCTTCTCGAAAAAAAAAAATCATCATGGCAAAAAACAGTTTTTTATTACTTTTCTTTATTTTTTCTCTTAGTTTTTCAACTTTAATAATTGCTTCATCTTCTTTTAATCCAACAAATATCAATATTATTAACCCCAAAAATAATCTTCCAAATACATTACTAAAAAAAGGGTACGTTTCTATGTCAATTATTCTTGAAAATACCCTAAATAATTTTATTTCTTCTTCACCTAATACCACCAATTTCACCATATTTTGTCCTACTGAAAAAGCTTTTTTAAAAATATTTCCAAAATATCAAGATCCTCCAAATAGATTAATTCAATATCATATTTTTCCTTTGGGATTAAATAAAAATGTTCTTGAAACATTTTTTCATAGAGGGTCCAAGTTTAAAACCCTACTTCTTGATCATTCAATTGTTGTTACTACATTGCCTCGATCAGAAAAAGTTTCTATTAACAACGTTGATATTATTGAATGGGATGTTTATAATGATGGACATGTGATCGTGCATGGAATTGATGAATTTTTTGATCAATCTCATGCACGATCACACATTGATAGTTCATCCGGTGTGGAAAAGAAAATTGAACAGAAGACATATGGTTTTACGTATAGAGATTTTGTCAACTATTGGCTTAAACATCTTCAGTCCATTGTTCAATTAATTTGGCTTCATATGGAAGTGGGCCTTGTAATTGCGTTCCTTTGTTACATATATAGATATAGAAGATTATCATGTTTTGGAGGCAGAGGATTATATAGACGATCATAGTGTTCAAGGAGGAAAATTAGATCAAGGTTCAATTAATTACATAGGTATAGTTTAATTAGATTACTATTTTTTGCTATTTTAATTTGTTTGTTTAGTTGAATTATTGATATGATATTTTTCTTTCATCATAAAATAATTATTTATTCACTACTTGCAAAAATAATTGACTATTAATCATCTAATGCCTGCCCCTTTAAAACTTTCCTTTCCCTCCATAAAGACAATAACTATGCCCCACAATGAATAGGGACATGTACTATAATCACCCAAAATGTTACTTTTTTTCTGTATCGTTCCAATTTTATCAGAACACTACGAGTCTAGAATACGATGAATCTACCAGATTTCTTCCGGAGAATGGGGTCGTTGGAGATATTCAGGTCACCGTAAAAGTTAGTATATGATTGATGTAGTCAAGTCCTGAACAAATTTGATGAAACCTGTAAAGGAAACTTTCATCAGTATAGGGACATGAGATAGACAAAAAAATCATATAATTCATGTTAACTGCAATCGATTCGATGCGTAACGTATCAAAGGGGTGAAAACTTGATGAAAATTCATTATCTAGAACAGCATGAATTCTTAAACTTCTGCATCCAAGTTTCATGATTCATTGTTCTAGAGAAAAAATGGATAATTTAAGTACTAGGACTTCACAAGAACTACTTCAACTGAGAATGAAACTTGCCAAAATAAAGCAAAACTTTGGAAGATGAAATAAACTTTTTTTCGTTTTTACCCCTTCCTAGGAGCTCCTGCCTTTTTTGCTCACTTGGTGACTCGAACCCAAAATCTTAGAGTTGGAGGTGTATGGTGCTTACCATCTGAGCAACCCTCTTGTCGAAGATGAATAAACTTTATTAGGCCTTCAACATGAAGAAAGCTTCTTGATAATCTCATTTTGCCTATTCTACTCCCTCCATCCCAAACTAGTTGACATATTTCCCATATTTATTTATTTTATATTAACCATGGTGTCTGGACCAACTTGCAGTTTTGCACTCACATAGACTTTTATACCGGGTACTTACTACCTCCTACCAATACAGATATTTGATTTACTTCCTTTTTTTACCTTTTCTTTGTAACGATGGTGTCTAGGCCAGGTTGCGCTCACATGAATTATCGTACCGGGTACCTACTACTAACCTACAACCAAGACAGATACTTGATCTACTTCCCTTTTTATATATGCAGATATATTTTGTTATTCCTACGCTTATTGCAGCATCTGTTCGCCTTTTTTGATTGGCAAAGGTATACAACATCTTTTCATATTTCAAACCACCTTTTTAACATTTCTATACCAAACTTGATATAAATTACATTCAAGCATTTGCCATAGATCTTAATAACTGCACAAATCAAACTAAATCATACAGATTGAGACGAAGGCATAGATACTTCAAGAAAGTTATAGATGAACTTTTGCACACGTTGTCTAAAGTAGTAAAATAAAAGACATGACTAAACCTTTTTAAGGGAAAGAAAAGATTACCTTTAGATGGTGTGGCATGATTTTTATATCATAGGGCACATGAAACCAAGCCTCAGGTGGATAGTACAAAAAATTCTCGGGCTCACTAGTATAGATATCTGCATATTGATGAATGTGGTAAGCAAAAGCAGATTCCTGACCAGTATCAGTGAGGAACGTAGCTCCAAACGATTTATTGAACATTCCCTTCATTTTGTAGCGAGTCTTTTGTCTTTCATCATTGAGCTCCCTAAGGAGAGACTTGTATGCTTCACTTGTCATACTACTAGTTGCGGTGGCATGAAGCCTACCAAGAAGTTCTTGCATTATGTGAAACTTCGCCTGAATGGGGGAAGGAGGGAAAGAGATTAAAGCTAGTTAGTAACGAAATGGATATATCTGACGGAAAAGAACAATCTGCCTTTAGAGTACAAACATTTATATAGTGTGTGGATAATGTAAGCCTATTTACAGCAAACACATTCGGATAAGACATATGGCCAAATGAAAGCAAGTCACCAATACATCGAGAAAATTCTGTGTTAAACTCATTTGAAGCAGTTTATGAAGCAAACTTTTGTCCTAATTAAACAATCTGCTTAGACAGTGGCAGTTCATTTAAGTAAGAGTGCAGGACAAGTCGATGAAAATAGGTGGCGATCTCTCTAATGAGACAAAACCAACATAATACCCAGTGTAATCAGTGGGGTATGGGGAGGGTAGAGTGTACGCAAACCTTACTCCTACCTTGAAAGGTAGAGTTCTAATAAGACAACAGCCCAAGGAAACTCACATGTAGAGCAATTAAATTGTTAGCCATTCCAATGTGAATGCATCCTAAATGCATAATTAGGAAAACCATGAATTACGATATGGTTTAGGAAGGTGAGGATGCTTCGTATAGATCTTCCAATGTACATTTAAAACCTTCTACATTCAACGTAGCTACAACAAGATACCTGCATCATACCATGGTCTTCGCAATTCATGAAATGTGGAAATTACAGAATCAAGTCATATACACATGCAATCAACATCAGGACCCTTCTCACAGCACGTATCATATAATTCTATAACCGAACGTACAGTTTCAAGTGATTGATGAAAGACCATCAAGTTATACCTGTTCAAATCTGTAAGAATTATCATTCTGAATCATGATCTCACTCTGGAAACAAAAAAGACAACAGGAGTTAACTAAACTTTTGATCAACAAAAGACGGAATATAGGACATTTTGACAAAACAATAGAAAAAAAAGAGGACATAAACCTCCCTCCCATCATAGATTCTGAAACGATGTGTTAAATAAGGATAACAACAAGTGATGCATTTTATTGTACCCAAGGGTGCGCCCTAGTGGTCAATGAAATGGGTGCAAATACGGGAGACCAAAGTTCAAACTCCAGCAGAGACAAAAAAAACATTAGGTGGGTTTTTCCCAACTTCAGATAGGAAGGTATGGAGGTCGAAGATTATGGTAGAAGGATAGCAGGTAATTGATTGTTGTTGCACTTTGTGTGGAAAAGGCAGGGAGCTAGGCTCCTCTTCTTCTATTAGTAGTATCATTTAGTTATTCTGTAGTTCCGTATTATTCAATATGTATTACTATTTGTTGCTGGATTTGTTTTGTATATTGCTATTTTGGTGTTTTATTTTTCTTGCAATCCTGCATCAAATACTTTTCTTTTGAGCCAAGGGTCTACAAGAAACAACCTCTTTACCTCACAAAGGTAGGGGTAAGGTCGGCGTATATCCTACCCTCCACATACCCCATTTGTGGGATTACACCGGGTAAGGTGGTGTTGTTGTCTAAACTATAGTGGGTAGAGTTAGTGGAACGTTGCAGGTATCCGATGGAATAGTCAAGCTGCGCAAGCTAGCCCAGACACCACCGCCTCACTAAAAGTAAACTATAGATAATCCAGATTCCCAGTCCCTATTTTAAACTAGTAAGGCCTTATACAGTGTATAAATATGCTTCATATTGATATCAAGAGTTTACGCTTCAACAACTTCTGCAATAAACAAGCAGGAACAAAGAATTCTTGGTCGAAAACAAATCATCTTTTATTGCTAAGGGTAGTTTTTATATGTTAAATTTACATAGTTAGAAGCTTATATAAGGAGCAGTACAAGTTAATACTATTTTTTAATGGTTAAGTTATTTAGCAAATATTTGAGAAGATCCATTATACAAGAAAAATTAGTTAAATCTCCAAATAGTAATAGTACGATGTAAAACGGTACAGATGGAGACTATGGCTAAAATAGAAATAGGCATAACATAAACAGAATAAAAACTAAAAGAAAGCATACCTTCAATTCATGGATGATGGCAGCAGTCCGCCACCCTGCTTTTGAAGGACCTCTGAGATCACTAAAGAGGTGATCCCCAAAATATATCACCTGAAGTTTCATGAGAGTTTATCTCAGTAATGTAATGAACGAGGTTGGGAGATGAAATGGATATATACATAGAAACGAGACGGTCTGTCTAAGTTAACTTGTCAAACTTGCATATATATAATAACAGAAAACAAAGTTTCCTTGCCATGAAAAAGCTGTAGTATTTTGTTAAGCATACCTCTGGACCTTTCCACTTTGTAATCTGCAAGAATGCTTTAAGGCATCCATGGTAGTAAATTTTACCGGGCAAGAAAGCATCAACTTTTGTAAAAGCCAATGTGTCCTTCTCCACATCATAGCAGCTGCAGAACATTCAATAAATACAACGAGGCAATACTGTATGTGATAGTAGCACGAGACAGTTAGCCTTATGAAGAGGATATTGGTGGAAAATGTTTTATATAGTGAATTGCAACGTAGAAGAAGACGTGCTAGGTCCTAAAAACCAAATCAAAATAGACATAATTAAAAAAAAAAAAAAAACAGAACTCTCTTATTAATCCCAAAAACAATGATGATGGGCAGGAATGGCATAGTTGGAACCAGTGTTATATGCAATGAAAACTTGGCAGAGAACTTAATGGTAGAGAACCAAACCGAAATGGATGGTCCGATTTGTAAAACTCTGGCTTGTTTGCTTTAGCAATTACGACATCAAAAAGTTCCTTCCAGGAATCTTGCTGACCCAAAGAATCCTAATGAAATATATACCAAAAAGAAAAGGTGTCAAGTTGGAGAACTCGTTTTACTTCCAGACTAATAGAACAAAGTAACAATAGACAATACAATCAAAGCAGACACGAAAAGAAAGATGCAAGTATCAAATTGTATTCCCTAGGGGAAAATGAGGTTATGCTTATCCTAACCACAAAAATCTTGAGTAATCTAATAATATTACCATAATTGTGAACTACAAGAAGTGGTAATATAGAGTGCATTTCGTTAAAAAAATAGAACTTGGGACTAACTTGGAACCAAAAGGCTAGCTAGTGGTGAGAACTGTTCAAGATCATATGAAGAGACTACAACCCATGCTCAACTAAATTAACACCCTCCAGCACAGCCAGGATTTGGACATTCAGAAGGAACGATACAACATGGGTGACCTCAACATAGGCTGGCCAACATCAGGGAAGGGTCCACCTCCAGAACATGTTAAAAAAATGGACCTTGGGAGTTGGGACAAACTCAACTCCAAAAGCTAGCTCAAGTGGTGTAATTCGCAAAGACCATGTAAAGACACTACAACTCATACACATAACAGGACCGACGGGGAATTCTAACATACCAAACTATACCTCAAACTAATAAATTAATGTCACAAAGAAAAGCAACTTGCTTAACTTAATGTGCAGCTCCAGAAAAAGGAACTAAGAAACAGTTGCAGATGTATAAAATTTAAAGCACTTAAATGAAGCATGAAAAGAAAGATGCCACAGTGCCAAAGAATCAAATAACACTGTCACTTTCGAAACAGGCTAGACCAAACATTAGACGTGCAGATAATGTCCGGGAGTGGCATTACCAGAATACACACGCACCGTGAAAAGAATCACAGAGATACAGAGTCACAGATATATATAGAGAATTCAAGGGAAAGTGGGAAAGAAAGAATAGATCGCCAAAATAATTTTCTGCTATGGATCTTCTAAATGTCAAGTAATTAAAAAAAGGACACCAGCACACTAATTTCCACCATAAGTTCCCAGCTCCTTTTTGCACTTCGTAGTCCACTTATGCAACTAAAACTAAATCACCAGTAAAAGATAACAATGTTTCAGCTAGTTGAGGTCAAAATATTTCAGTGCAAGGAGTGCTCTTATCTTCTCTATTTACATGCCACAGATAAACACAAACGTACGAACACACTCTGCCAATGTCACATGTAAACTAAAATGGTAATGAAGTTCCAAGAAAAGTAGAGCTGATCATAAAAATTATCTAAGGAAAGTAGAATCGCAGACGAAGCAAACGAGCGATCCATATTAAGCCAAAAGATTACAAATTTGTATTGTTCCACTTGAAAATACCTGCAACATAAAGCGCATCCCTCCATCCACAAAATAAAAGGGCGAGTTGGTCAACAAGAAAAGTTTCTTTCCTTTATCCTTCAGCATCCTTAGAAAGCGTAGCAGCTGATCCTGGAAGAGAGATGGGTGAAATTAGGTCTAGAAGGTGAGTTCTGAAAGTTGCTATATGTACAGAGTAACTATGGTAATACTTACATTCTTTACAAGGTATCTGGGGGGGTCAGCAAGAATTCCTCTGTGAACTAACCCGCTATTATGAACATACTGTATCGCTCGATTCACATCTTCATATACGTAACGAGCATCAAATTCCAATTTAGCGTCAACAAAATGTTGCACAATATCAGCAATAAGGCAGGCCTGCAAAAAAGAAAATAAAAGAGAACCCAAGAGGTCAAAAAGCCACTAATAAAACTCTTCGGCAACTTATCTAATGCATCATTTTACTTTATTTGAAGACAACCTTCTTGAAGATAAGAGAATCATTAATCGCCCCTAATCCCTATTACTCTGTACCTTTACTTTACACAACACAATCATAAGGTATGACTACCCAAATGTCCAAGATATTTGGAACAAACTAAAAAGGAAAGAATGTCATAGAAGATGGAACAAAGTGAGTATTCTTTTCAATAAAGATCAGTTTGCTGTGGACTTCAAATGAAAATTTTCAACTGCTATTACTTGGATCAGATGAGGGAAGAACAAACTAAAATTAGATCAAACCAAAAGGGTCTGCTATGCTGAAAAATGCGCGGAAATCCAGAAAAAGTACACTTATGATCAATTATTTTTTCAGAAGAAGATTAAAAAATAAAAAGTGTGAGAGACTTGAGTTTAATAATTCCACATTCCATATCTTCCTCTTGTCTGTTCCTTTTTATTTTCTTGATCAGGCCCATCTTCCTTTTTTATTCTTCTTTAAATCTGTCACACATACTTCTTTACAAGATTCACATTTTACGAGAAATGGAGGGCTTTTTATGTTATTCTAATGCCCTTTTATAAGTAATCAGACGAGAAGTGTAAGGTGTTAATGTGTTGTAAATAATCTAAAGAAACTAACTCTAGAAATGTGACAACCCTTCATCCATAAAATATGAGCTACAAAAAATATGGGACGAATAGAGTACAACATTATCCGCTTTTGCTTAATTGATAGACAAAAAAGGATCTTTTAATAGTAGCCAGCTGATCATACAACTAACACATACATCAGATAGCATAAGTCAAATAAAGAGCTGACCTATGAGCAGTTAAAGATGGTTTTAAACTATCCATTTGGAAAACTTACCAAGTTTGTTTTGAATGGGAATATAGAGACATGAAGATGGCAATATCCACCTGTAACACCCTACTTAAGAATTTGCTCTTGAGCATTTGACTATAAATTGTGGTAAGAAATGATTTTATTTTATTTTTTTATGTTTTTTAGTTCAAGAAGAAAACGACAAGTTTGCACACAGTTGCTGCAACAAACAGCTTATATTTGTATTCCCATACTGCATAGCTGGTTTCTAAAGCCTGTCCACTCTTGATGTCTCTTAATTTTTTAAAACATTTGTCACCAATATTTTTCATGATTTGGAGACCCATGCAGCTAAACAAAATACATATACATGTCTGATGAGTGCAATCTTGTTAGTAATGTGGAATGAGTTCTTCAATGCGTTAAAAAGTCAAATGTTAAAAGGGAAAACTGTGTTGATTGACAAGTAAAAGCAAGTGGTCAAGCAAGGAGCAAGAAAACTGAAACTGGTAAAAAATATAAGAGATCAAAACACTATAAACTAACCTCACTGAAACAAAAGAAATCCATCAAACAAACTAGTTCTCGTGCTTGATCACGGCCAATATGTCTTGTACCATACATCTCATCTATTTCCTCACGGCTGAGCTGCAAAATTTAACATCAGTGAGCATCAGATTATCAACTATTAGATGCTTTCGGTGTCAATTTTGTTTTGATACATACAACAAATCAACGGGCAAGGCATCCACCTTCCAAGAGAAACCCAATATTGAAGAAGGCATTCACATCTGGTAAAGACAGCCCCCCTCCCCCCTCCCTCCCCGGGACATTGGATGGAGAAGTGTAAACAGGTTTTAGAAAAAGAGGTATTAGCTCTCAACAACTTAGATGCTATATTCCTTCTCTTTTCCCCACCTTGCATTGTACCATCGATCCTCATTATGTTAGAATATTTGCTCAATTTTCTAGATTTTTTCACTTTATTCATTATTTCTTGTGCTTTTATCACATCTTCTGAACTACCTTTTGTAATATCAGAAATCAATAATAATTCTACTCCTGTTATAAAAATATATTTTTTTGAAATGGATAATCCATTTTTAAAAAAGGGAAAAGGGTCAAATATGCCCCTAAACTATTCGAAAACGTTTAGATATACCCCCCGTTTAAAGTTTGGCTCACTCGTACCCTCGCCGTCCAACTTTTGGCATAGATATGCCCTTATGGGCATTAGTTGGTCCGCTGGAAATATCCAGCTCATTTTACACTTCTTTAAATGCCAAATGGAATTGCCACGTCATTTTTACATTACCACATGTCATTTATATTAAAAGGGAAAGGGGTCAATTATGCCCCTAATCCGACCCATAAATCAACCCCCTCTTTTAGGGCTTTGATTGGGTTCTTTCAGATTGGAGGAAAAGCGAACCGGATCAGCGATGTTCTTGGTAGATTGGTTCTATGGCATTCTGGCAACCCTTGGTTTATGGCAGAAGGAGGCTAAGATCTTGTTTTTGGGTCTCGATAATGCCAGAATGACCACCTTGCTCCATATGTTGAAAGATGAGGTCTCTTACCATTTTCTCCCCTTTAGATATGTTTTATCATATAATTTGTGCCGTTTTAATTCTTTTAATTTACATATGTACATGTGATTATTTGTATGAGAATCGGTGAAGAAATGGAGCTTCATCTGATTTCCTGAATTCTCCCATTTTCACCTGAAATATTTCTCTTGATGTAGCTTTATGGGTCTTAGATCTTTATGAAGAAAGAGTTACAAGTTTGATTAGTTTGAAAAGACCTGTTTTTTCGACTATTGGTTACTTGTAATCTTGAATCTGAGATTGAGGTTTATTGAATTGTGGCAGAGATTGGTTCAACATCAGCCAACACAATACCCAACATCAGAGGAGCTTAGTATTGGAAAGATCAAGTTCAAAGAGGGGTTGATTTATGGGTCGGATTAGGGGCATAATTGACTCCTTTCCCTTTTAATATAAATGTCATGTGGTAATGTAAAAATGACGTGGCAATTTCATTTGGCATTTAAAGAAATGTAAAATGAGTTGGATATTTCCAGCAAACCAACTAACGCCCATAAGGGCATATCTATGTCAAAAGTTGGACGGCGAGGGCACGAGTGAACCAAACTTTAAACGGAGAGTATATCTAGATGTTTTTCGAATAGTGTATTTGACCCTTTTCCCTTTAAAAAATTGCTATTCCTTCAAATGTTAGAAAAAAAATATTAAACAAATACTATTACTACTAACATTCTCTAGAAAAGGTAGTGTTAATATGGACTTTATATGGTTAGAGGCAGTGGTGGAGCCACCCTTCTTCAAGGGATGTCAATGATGATATACTTGGAAAAAATGAGGATGTTATATGGAACTGAATGGGAATGTCTATTTTTTTTAAACCGAGAACCCACAAGGGTGTGGCACATGGTTTGAAATTTGACCGATAATAGGTTTATTCCTCTAGTCTTCTCCATTTAAAAATGGGAGGTTTGAACCTGTATGTGCATTTAACATACACATCACATGTCGCGCTCTTAATTACATATCAAAGCCCTAAGGGCTTGAAGACGAATGTGTCCCTCCTTACTGACATCCCCACATTCAAAGTCTTCATGTCAATGATGCCCTTCAGCGTCTTGCATTACGAGGCTGAAGATTAATTTTTGTTTTTATTATTAAGTTTAGGAACACCCTCAATAAACCTACTGCATCCTCAAAAAAATACGGAGCTTTTTTCTCATGACATCAATAAAACTTATTGCATCCCCCCAAAAAGTGAAGCCATTTAGCCTCGCGCTACCAGAATACCAGTTGTCCCCAAAGAACAACAACAACAACAACAACATACCCAGTGTAATCCCACAAGTGGGGTCTGGGGAGGGTAGGATGTACACAGACCTTACCTCTACCTTTGCAGGGCAGAGAGATTGTTTCCGATACACCCTTGGATCATAAAAGCAGGAAAGTAAGTTATCCCCAAAGAATACAAGTGTTTTAATTTATTTAATGAAATAAATAACTACATAAATAAGGTATTCCCGAAAAAATTCCATGGAAAAATCAAAACGAACATAATAGGGAGCTTGCTGAACTTCACCTTGCGCCTGCCGTAGTAGCACCCGTCAAGCTCAATTGACCCAAAAAAGTCCAACTTCATAAGACAACCCTTTGATTTGTCATAGTATAACCCTCTGATGGGAAAACTTGGATCATACTTGAACTCCAAGCAAGTATCAGGATATTTGAACTGAAGCACAAAATGAAAAAGAGAGCAATCCATCAATGGTCGTTTACTTTAACCGCAAAACACTGCATATTCTTTTTTAAAGTATATTCTTTGAATAGCTACCACAAGGAAAGAGTACAGAAACAAACCTCATTAACTAGATGCTGTTTTGCAAGATCGTAAATCAAGCACTGTAAATTGGAGGAGTAATGCGCCAACGTGTAATCATAGTCGAATCCATAGACTTGTATGCTGTCCAACCGCACGTTCTTATTAACGTATATACCTAATAATAAACATTATCCCACCGAAATTCAATCCAATCCTCAAATGGTAGTAGAAGTTCAAATAGAAGGTTAAATGCACTACAATATGACAGAAGAAAACGTGGGCAACCTTTAGGATTCATTTTGGACATTTGTTTCAATGCATCAGGAATCTTTAGAAACTTCTCCTTCGCAGCATTATATTCTTCCCTAATTTTCGAAATCTCTTCCTCAGAAAGTGAATCTTTTGCATTTGCTAACAGTTTTTCTTGGTCTTCAAACTTCAATACTTTTGGTTCTGAAGACACTATACTACTACATTGACGATAACCGCCTCCTAAAAACCCTGTGTTTCCAAGAAAAAATGTTCATTAGGTTTTCCGGTACAGCAGAGCTACTTACAAATCAAACACAACATGAAAAGATATTTCAATAAACACACAACAAAGGAGAAAACAAGTACCTTCTTTACATCCATAATGAGAATAACTTGTCCTCTGCAGCAAAATTTGCTACTATCAGTGACACTATCAAAAAGGGTATTCATATCTATGATCCAAACGATAATACACAAACACCTACAATGACATACGTACATACACAAGTTTATATAGGTACATGAGTGGGATATGTTTGTTAAAAAAAAACCATATAAGCTAGAAAGGTACTCTATCATCTATGCAAAATCCACAAACTATATAAGTGTCAGGTACTTTGAAATAAAATTTGCCTATGTTACTCAAACTCTCAAAATTGTCACCGCACCCGTGTCGTATTCTCCAAAATGCACTACTTTTGGAGTATCCAACACACATCTGTCAACATTTTTGAAGAGTCCGAGCAACATAGAAATTTTCCACCATAAATGACACCTACTAAAAGGGCAAGACACTCCTACAGCCAAAATGTTAATTAAAACATTAAATAACCACAAAGACATCTATATATATACAAGATTACACAGGTATAAGGGTGACATTTGTTCTTAAGCAGCATGAAGACAAAGCTCATAGGGGCGGATCTATAGGGTTGTGACAGGCACCTGAACCCACTCGGCAAAAATTTACACAATATATATAAGGTATTTTAATTTCTTTTATGTGTGTATATATATACAGATTTTGAATCCCGTGAACATAAGAATATAGGTTGGATCAGTGGTTTAGGGATTCAAACTTCACGTGGAGGTTTCAAATCTCAATCACTACATTTTTATTTTTCGAACCCCTTAAGTGAAAATCCAGGATCCACCACTAAAAGCTCCACACAATATAAACAACAGAGGTACAACTAATAATCCAGGAAAAAAGATTTGTTACTATTAGTGAACCTATCAAAACGGTATTCTTATCCTCTGATTACACACAATAAAACCACAAAGGAAATAATAGATACATAAGATTATAGGGATATGAACTTCATATGTTTACTTATAAGCATTTTTTACACAAACCCAAAAAATATTTAACCAAAAAAAAGGACACTAAACAAAATATAGATACACAAGTCTTATGAACTGCATATTTTATCAATAAATCTGTATTTGTTACAGAAACCCACAAAGTATATAAACAAGACATTCATAAAATCTCATCTTAGGCCATTAAATTGCCAAAAAAAAAAAAATGCTACCATAAGCGACTCCTATCAAAAGGGTATTCAAATCTATAATTGAAATCAAATAAAACATGATTTACACCAAAAAAAAAGGAGCTGCAGAAAACCCAGAAAGAATAGAGGTAAAAGAGAGAGCTTACAAGAAGAGAAGAACGAAAGGGGATGATGAGCCTGCGAAGGGTTGCCATTGCAAAGATGGCGCCTTCACTCCAGAACAATGAAAGCTGAAATTTTTCTTAAATACTATACTTTAAAACTCAAATAATAATAAATGAGAAAATGAATAGTGGAAATTTGATGGTATTTTTTAATAGTACTATAACCACCAACCATGATACAATTTGGGTAATACTCAATTTATCAATTGATGTGACGTTATTTCATAATTTTTAATTAAGATTATACTTTTTACCCATTTTTTTAGTATCAAATAAGTGAGATTCAATATGAATAAATTATTGATAGTTTTTTCAAATATTTGTCAAAAAAAAAAATGTGTCATTCTATTTTAAATATACTAAAAAGGAATGAGGACAAAGGGAGTATCCAGAATCAGGTGTTCACATCAAATTAATGCAATTATCATGATTAAGTGATTTAATGAAATAATTACATGTTTTGTTTATCACTTCAACTCGTAATTTGCATGACCTTTATATATTTGTTACACGTGTGCTATAATGACAATTATAATGAGAAACAAAATGATAAAATGAAGCAAATCCGAAAAAATTACCTCAATTTCAATTGTTTTTTTATATATTAATACACTATATTTATTTATTTATTTGATATAAATATCGAATGAGAATAAGCTTTTACCTGCCATTTACAACATGGCATGTTAACACAATAAATAAAATTGCGTTTCCCTTGTTCTGGTTGCGGTGGAAAAGTCTGGTGCCAACTGCCATTGGCGCACATGAGCTACTAATAAAAAGTTGCCAAAATTTGGGGAATATCATTTGATACTTTCTGCCCTTTTAGTAAAAGAGCCTTATATAGGCTTTTACATTTTCTTTGTCCCAATCTATATATAATTAGGTTAAAATATTTTTAAAATTTATGATTTAAAATAAATTATAAATATTTGTGTAACTATAAATTATTTTATTAAGAATAAAATGATCATTTTTATTAAATTGTTACTAAATATAAAAATATGTTACTCATTTTTTAAAACCGACTAGAAAAGAAAATGAGTCCCATAAATTGAAATAGGAAGAATAATATTTATCAATGCAAAGACTATCGACTTGACTTTCTACTTATAATAAAAAGGTCTCCTCTTCCTTCATTTCGTAAGCTTACTAGCTTACAGACTAAACCATTACTAATTCACCATCACTTTTTGCTTGGTTGGTCATTTTTGTAATAAAGCGCTTACAAATTTTTTTGGATTATATATATTTTGGAAGGATTTTTTCCTTTTTTTCTTTTAGATTTAGCCAATTAAAGATTTAAGTTGTGGGAATAAAAAAATAATCTGAAATCACCAAAGTTTAGCATTTTCCTAATTGCAGAACTTTTAAAAACAAAAAGGCAAAACAAATATGCAAACGTTTCTTTTAACGTTGAGAGAATCCATGGGGCTAAACGTTCCTGCTGCAACTTGTAAGAACCCTTCTATTTCAAGTGATCCTGTAACCTGGAAAAAGAGAAAAAAACTAGAGGGATAAGTTGGATGTTTTAATTTTCTAAAGGGAAAACGATCAAATTTGCCGGAGTACTATCCAAAATAGACCAACTTTACCCCCCGTTTAAGAGTTCTGGTCTAATATTTACCCCATTGTTAGGGAAAAGTCTCGTTTTTTGCCCTTGGACCTTAACAAGGCAACAACTGAGGGTTATTATAAACCAAAACAAAAGTTGGAAGGGTAAAATTTGGATCTTTTTTTCTCAAAGAACTCGGGCACGTGGAGTTTACCCATTTTCTCATTGGAGCTTCATTAATGGGAAGGAGAAGGGTCAAAAACACACCTAACGTAACCCGATTTTTTGAGTTTCTTACCTAAACTATCACCAAATGTTTTATAGCATACCTCAACTATCGATTGTTCACTGATAATTGAGGTGTGTTTCCACAAATATTTGGTAATAGTTCAAGTAGGAAACTAAACACACATGATAGTTCAAGTACGAAACTAAAAAGGGGATACTTTAAGTGTGTGTTTTACCCTTAACTCGACAATTTTTAACCACAACGGCATGAATGGCCTAAAAAGTTTAACGGAGTACAAGATTGAACAATTTCGACTAGTAAGGTGCAAATTTTAGACCTTTTCCCTTTCCTAAATGAGAAAACAAGAACTAAAATACTGATGATGATAACACCACAACCTTTAGAATTTGGGTCATCAGCAATACAACTGGTGCAAATTGTTATCCAGCTTTGACTACCACAAAAATTCAGTTGGATTTCTTTCTTCTTGATGCTACCTCTGAAGCCCAAGCTTTGCCCACCTCTGTTTGGAACTTACCTGGATGTGTTTTGTCAAAGATCTCATCAGCTCAAGGCATGGGTTATTATCAAAAATTGATCCATGCAAAAGAAGAAGATAATAACTTCCAAGTCTCAAAGCAAGGAAATTCTCCACTACATTAAACTAGTAACATCATAACAAGAATGACTTCGGACTACCAATTTCTTGGATTTATAATTCTCTATTGCAACTACTCATGTTAAATGTGACACAAGTGAACGTGTTCATCAGGGGGACCAAGTACACACAAACACCTACCATATATACACACAATCTGATCGAAAACAAGAGAATATAATTAGTATCTTTCACGTACTTTGTCAATTTTAGAAATCGAATCTCCAAATCTATGCTACATAGTTCTACTCAATCTTTTGGTTATCAAAGAATCCTTTCCATGAGAACCTAGATCCACTGTGGAGACAAATATATTATATGTGCAAAATCTACAAACTTAAATTCTTTAAGGAAAAAAATTCAAAACAAGTCGCAAGATTTCTCATGTTCAAAGGGGAAGGGGGAACTATCCCCAAAAGTTCAATACCAACTTCCAACAACTTGATTGTTCCAATCAAAATGACAATATCGTGTTATTCACTAATCGTTTCAACGAATTAACATGCAAATGTCAAGAGTTTCAGACAATAGAATGTTATTCTGAATTCCAAGGTCAACGTTTAACCACTAACTTGGCAATCTAAGACGAGATGCGTTATAAACAGATTTGGAACGGCAAGGCAGTAGCAGGTTATGATGGAGCTAGAAGGGTCAAGCTCCAGAGTACACAAAGGGCAACACAAAAAGTAGAATGAGTAGAATTTAAAACTTTTAAGACTTGAATTGTGATTGAATAATAAAAATGTTAAATGTGGCACCTGCAGTTGACTGAAAAAATTCTTCCAAATCCTTTCCTTGCTCTGCATGACAAAGATAAGTAGCATTAGCTTAAAAAATTAAAAAATGCAACTTCTCATGGCAAGAGGGAACCAGTCCATACATCAAGAGACGAACAACTTACAGACAAAAATCAGTATTTATTACAATGAGAGATTCTTGTATTTTTATTTTTTGAATGTTTAGTAAGGGAAATCTTAAAAAGTATAAATTGTACCAAGTAAATATAAGTTTACATTATACAAATGCTAAGATATGTGTGTTTTGATTAATTCTCACTATAGGTCCTACAATGTAATAGCACAATCACTAAATGCCAAAGGTATTACCATGGTGTGTGTATTTCTCATGCTGAAAGATGCAGTATGACAACAAAGTTCAGAAAATAGGAAAAATACAGAAACTTGGAGAATTTTGGAGAAATGTGACTCTCAAGTCTCAACATTGGTCAATTTTACCCCCTAAACATGTATGACAATTGACACCTAATATGGGACCTTAGGGGGGGGAGGTATAATGGATCTTACATAGTATTGTTTAACTGGGCATAGAGTTTAAGATGTAAAGGAAGACTTTTGGCACATGCCAGTAGCACTAGAAGGTCATCAAAAACAAGAACTGTGCTACAACTTGCGGCCTTAAATATGCCATGACATTCTTATGGCTATAAGATTTACAAAATATAGAAAAGTGTCTCTCTTTTGGAAGAAACTAAAAAAGAAGAACTGTTATATAAAATGGAACAAAGGGAGTACTATTTATCCAGTGTACATCCGAAATCCGGGGGAAAAGAGAGAAACAGGAAGTTACCATTTTCATATTCCAATGCCTGAAGTATCATCTCCACCTGAAAGAAAACAACTTATCAGTCAAGATGAGAGCAGTGGATTAAGCTAAAGGAAGAGATAACTATCATAGATAGCATTACAGCACAGCAACTGAGCAACAGAATGGACATCCTTCAGTAACCCGTGGATAGCAATTTTGTTATCGTGAGGCAAGAACTTTTATTAAACAATCATGCATGAAGGCTAATTGAGTTTTTCCCGAATATCTTGTATGCATATTGGCTAACAAGATGTCAAACTTTACTGAGCGTATGGACGAATCCCTCACTTCATCCATCTGTGTAAAAGACACTAGCCGTAAAAAAGGAAGACACGATACAATGATGAGTAAACTTATATGTTTATCGCAAAATAAAATGAAAAACATCCTCATAAATACCATATTTTTTTATCTTTTATTTTTGATAACCATGGTGTGCAGATCAGCTTTTGCGCACCTCGACTAATTCCACGAGATACCATCACCTCCCACTAGCACCAAGTACTAGGTAACTCTGTTCACCACGGTAGGACAAATAGGAAGAAAACACCTAGCGTTTTTGTCTCTACTGGGATTTGAACACGAGACCTCATGCTTCTCAACCCACTTTACTGACCACTAGGCAAGTAGGCAACTCCCTTGAGTGTATCCTCATAAACAACATATAGATGGGACATATTCAAACTTTGGTAACAGAAACAATACCTTGTCGAAGTCCTTTACAACTTTGGCTTCTAAAGATGAATTTTCTTCATATTCCATCCACAAGTCACTGATCTCCTTGGCTGCAATTGCCCAACAGTAAATAATCAGCATGAGAATAGATCAAAGCTCAATCTTTCAAAATATATATTAGTTCGTAAAAAACTCAACGGAGAAGAGAAGCAATACCTCGGGATCCTCCACCCAAAAGTTTACACATGTCTTCTAGTGCTGCTCGCTCTCGTCTACTCTTTTCATCCTTTGGAATCCCATCAGCAGGAGTGATATCTCCAACAATTGCTGTTTAGTAGGAACACAAGAAAATATTTGATGAAGAAAATTA